ACGCAGCTGCAAGCCAAGAAGCTGAAGAGGGGCCCGCTCTCTGCCCACTCCGTCCCTGCCAGAGTGACTGCCCCCGTCACCAGCGGCCGTCCTGAGAGAGCCTCCTCCGGGGGTGAGTGTGGCAGGGAAGGGAGCGCGTTGGCCCTGGGCTCAGGGCTCTCGGACCCTCTAGGAACTCCTGATTTCTACCCCCTGTTCCTGGCTCCCAGCCCTGCAAGACAGACTGTGCTCATCTCATGCAGGGATGGAGGGCACAGGAGGGAGTGGGAAGCCCCACCACAGCAAGAGCCTTGCTGCACGTAGCATCCTAGCCCAAGGCGGCGATGCTTGGGCTCACTCCCTTTCCCCAGGCCAGTCCATCTCCTTCCAGTACTGACCATTTCTCCTTCCCCAGGGGCCTACATGCTGCAGAAGCTCATCGAGGAGACGGACAAGTTTGTGGTCTTCACAGAGGAGGAGTCAGGGGCGAGCGAGCAACTGTGTGGCATTGCCGCCTGCCAAACCGATGACATCTTCAACCGCAACTGCCTCATCGAGCTAGTCAACTGCCAGGTACCTGTCCTTGGCCAGCCTGCCCGTGCCTGTGTTCGCTGCCTGTGGCCTCGCCGTAAAGGTGGGTCATGTCCAGCCTCGGAAGGCTCCTCTCATCCCCGGGGTCTTTCCCCCGCAGATGGTGCTGCGCGGTGCGGAGACGGAGGGCTGTGTGATCGTGTCTGCTGCCAAGGCCCAGCTGCTGCAGTGCCAGCACCACCCTGCGTGGTACGGGGACACGCTGAAGCAGAAGACGTCCTGGACCTGCCTGCTTGATGGCATGCAGTACTTCGCCACGACGGAGAGCAGCCCCTCCGAGAGGGAACATGGGCAGCTCTGGCTGGAGGTAAGTGGCCAGGGCAACCAGGATGGGCTCAGTAGTGAGTGAGTTGGTTGGAGGGCAGATAGTGCTGCCAGTGAGAGCGGGGACAGCCACCAGTGCCTCCTGTGTCCCCAGGTGAAGAACATCGAAGAGCATCGGCAGCGGAGCCTGGACTCGGTGCAGGAGCTCATGGAGAGCGGGCAAGCGGTGGGCGGCATGGTCAGCACCACCACAGGTACTGGTGGCACGGGCCGCTGTGCCTACCCCAACCCGCTTGTGTGGCACCCCAAAGCTGAGCGCAACAGCCTGTCCCCAGGAGCCGGCCTGCTGCGCTGAGCCCCGTGCTCAGGGCTCCAGCCTATGGGGCACAGCGCTCTGACTGGGGTCCCCCTGCCTGGTCCTAGACTGGAACCAGCCCTCAGAAGTCCAGCAGACCCAGCAGGTGCAGAGGATCATCTCCCGCTGCAGCTGCCGCATGTACTATATCAGCTACAGCCACGACATCGACCCCGAGCTGGCCACGCAGATAAAACCCCCCGAAACTCCTGCCAACCAGGAGAAGGAGGATCTGCTGAAGAAGCAGGAAGGTGAGTACATCCAGGCATCCCAGTGGGGAGAGCTCTGGGCTGATGTACAGTTGCCTGATGAGTGCAGGGATGGTCTGTCTTGTCTCTGCTGTGATCAGAGGGGTGCCTACAGGAGTGATGCCCAGCCACATGGCCGTGCACCAGATGATGCTGGACATGCTGTGCCTCCTGGAGCCAATGTAACCACCTTGGCTTGTTCTCTGTCCATCTGCATCACTGTCTGGCTCATTAATCCTGGTCCCCAGGTGCATCCTGAGAGAGGCTCTTCCTGGCTGTGTTGGGACCCACGTGTCCTTTACCTGTTCCCACAGGAGCTGTGGACACATTCACGCTGATCCACCACGACCTGGAGATCTCCACCAATCCTGCGCAGTATGCCATGATCCTTGATATAGTCAACAATCTGCTGCTGCATGTGGAGCCCAAACGCAAGGTACCCGCATGGCCCTGGGTGACCTTCCTGTGCCATGTCACTTGCCTGTGCCCAGGACGCTCCTCACCTTCCCCTGTCCCTGTGTCCAGGAGCACAGCGAGAAGAAACAGCGAGTGCGCTTCCAGCTGGAAATCTCTAGCAACCCCGAGGAGCAGCGCAGCAGCATCCTGCACCTGCAGGAGGCCGTGAGGCAGCACGTTGCCCAGATCCGCCAGCTGGAGAAGCAGATGTACTCCAACGTGAAGGTGAGCCCGCAGCCCTGGCAGGACTTGGCTTCCCCGGGTCCCCGCTCTAGAGGGGAGGATGCTGAGGGCTCTCTGTCCTCTAGTCCCTGCAAGACGACAGCAAAAACGAGAGCCTGCTCGACCTCAACCACAGGCTGCAGCAGCAGCTGAGCCAGGAGAAAGCTGACCTGCAACTGGAAAGCGAGGAGCTGAACATCCTGATCAGGTAGGAGTCGTATTTGGCGCCCCCAGAGTTGCACCCTCCTTGCTCCAGAGCTCCTGTGTGCCAGCACTACGTCTTCTGCTGCAGGTGCTTCAAGGACTTCCAGCTGCAGCGAGCCAACAAGATGGAACTGCGGAAGCCGCCGGAGGACGTGAGCGTGGCACGGCGGACCGAGTTCTACTTTGCCCAGGCGCGCTGGCGCCTCACCGAGGAGGACGGGCAGCTGGGCATAGCCGAGCTGGAGCTGCAGCGCTTCCTCTACAGCAAGGTACGGAGCTGGCCAGGGGCCTGGGCAGCCCCTGGGCCAGGGCTGAGCGTGTGGGGCTGACACGTGTATCTGTGCAGGTGAACAAGTCCGACGACACTGCAGAGCATCTGCTGGAGCTGGGCTGGGTCACGATGAACAACCTGCTGCCCAACGCTGTGTACAAGGCAAGTGGCAACCTGGAGGAGCAGCCCTGGGCCCAGGAGCGAGGGGAGGACTTGCTGCAGATGATGGGGGGTGCCAGGCATGGCTGGGTCTGTCCTCAGCCCACTGCCCTTTGTGGTCCCCTGGGTGTCCTGGCATGGTTCTATGGCCTATCCTCAGGCCACCTCCTTTATACCTGGGGTTTCTTGAAGCCATGGGACATTCTTCTGGCCGGGGAGGGTTGGTCAACCAACAGCTGGTTGGTCTGTCCTCACCCCAAGTCATCTGTCCTGTGTCCTGGGGACCTGCTGCTCCCTTGGGTGCCCTGGGGGGGGGAGGCCGGGCCTGGTGGGCTGTCCTGTCCTCACCCCAGTCACCCACCCTGTTCCTTGCAGGTGGTGCTGCGTCCCCAGAGCTCCTGCCAGTCTGGCCGGCAGCTGGCACTGAGGATCTTCAGCAAGGTCCGGCCACCCGTGGGAGGCATCTCCATCAAGGAGCACTTCGAGGTGCTGAGACAGGCCCAGGAGGTGACATGGACCCATAGGCCACGGGCACCATCTGTCTGGCTCTGACGCACTGCTCTCCCTACAGGTGAACGTGGTGCCCCTCACCATCCAGCTCACCCACCAGTTCTTCCACAGGATGATGGGTTTCTTCTTCCCTGGCCGCAATGTGGAGGAGGAGGAGGTGGGGGATGAGGAAGATAAGTCCAAGCTGGTGACAACAGGTGAGCAGGAGTGGGATGCACATGGCACAGTTGGGTGCTCTCCTCCCTGGCGCCAGTGATGTCCCTGAGCTACTTTAGTTGTATCTAGCATGTGCTTGTGGCCAGCTGCTGGTGGGCCACACACTGAGGAAAAGGGGCTTCTGAGCTCCTCTGTGAGCAGGGAGCTGACAGGGGGTCTGGGTTGTAGCTGATCCCAGACAGACACCAGCCATCCTTCTTGTGTCCTTCTCGCATGGGTCCTGGGGATTTGGATGCATAGGGACTGGATGGACCTTGCCTGGTGTAGCGCGATCTGCTCTGGGGCCTTCAGCCAAGACAGTGCAGGCAGACGGGGAAGGGTTCGATGATATGTGGTGCCCTCGTGGCTGGCGTTCCCCGTGCCCAGGAGCCCCTCGCAGCTCTGTGTTTGTCCCAGGGATCCCCGTGGTGAAGCCGCGGCAGCTCATCGTGGCCGACGACTCGCTGGGCCCAGGCAAAGGGGTCGCTCAGGGATTGAATCGGACGTCAGGGGTCAGAAGATCGTTCCGAAAAGCACCCGAGGTACCTACTGCTGCCCTGAGGGGGGAGTTTGGGAGATCCATGCTGTGGAACCCCCCCTTTTCCTGCCCCTGCGGCAGCCTCCATGGCTGCCTGGTGAAACAGGGCCATGGCCCCATGCCTGGTTCTGTCCCCTCTCCTCATGGCTCTTGATGCTGTCCCCAGCATCCTGTGGATGACATTGACAAGATGAAGGAGCGTGCGGCCATGAACAACTCCTTCATCTACATCAAGATCCCACAGGTGCCACTCTGCGTCAGCTACAAGGTGAGGGACCCGCTGGCCCCAGGACACAGGTGCTGGGTGGCCAGGGACTGCTGGGGGGACAGGCCCACACTGGGTGTCTCCCCTGTCCCCTGCCCAGGGTGAGAAGAACAGCGTGGACTGGGGAGACCTAAACCTAGTGCTGCCCTGTCTGGAGTACCACAACAACACGTGGACGTGGCTGGACTTCGCCATGGCGGTGAAGAGGGACAGCCGCAAGGCCTTGGTGGCACAGGTATGGGGGACACTGCTGCCAGTGTCCACTCTGGTGACAGCAGGAGCTCTGAGCTCCCCAGCCATCTTGCTGTTCACAGGGAGGGAGCTGGGGCAGCTCCGAGCAGCCCTGTCCGGGTGGCTCTGGGTGCAGGGGCTGCGTGTGGCCACTGGGCGCTGAGGCCACCTCTTGGGGACAGGTGATCAAAGAGAAGCTCCGTCTGAAGCCGGCGGCCGGCGTGGAGGCCCGGGGCAAGCTGGAGAGCAAATCGGATGGGACGATCCAGCAGCAGGAGGAGGACGAGAAGGCGCGTCTGCTCATCGGGCTGAGCGTGGGCGAGAGGAACCTCAGCAAGAAGTCCATCTTCAGCAGGCGCAAATGAGGGCAGCACCCGGCAGGCCGGGAAGGGACTGGGGCAGCCCTGGGGCAGGGGGGCCGCGTGCCGCTCCGTGGGGCAGAGCCCGAGGTCGGGGCTAGCCCTGCGCCAGGCCGTGGTGGCCCAGGGGGCAGGGGGTGGCAGCCTGGGGCCATGGCACTGCTCCCTGGCTGCTCTGGGGGCCGCAGCCCCCCGTGCCAAGGGGTCCCACGAGCTTCCCCTCTCCCTGCTGTGCGGGTACTGGGCCCTGGGCCCGGTGAAGCAGCAGGAGCGCTCCAGGCTGGTGGCCGGCTGGGAGAAAGGGGAACGGGAGAGAATTTAAATAAGAGTTTTTAATTTGGAATAGCCTCTGACCTCTGCATCGGCCCTCAGCCCCCCGCCGCACTGTGAGGGGCGCAGCAACCGTCCCTGTTACCCCCCA